GTGACTTGTGATCCAGGATTGTTGGACACAAGGGTTAGTGTTTGCAAGAGGATTGTTCTTGCACACTAGTTGTTGATTAGTTGTTAGATTGTAGGCTTCACCTGTTGATGGTGTGATAGGTTGTACTTTCTAAAACTATAGTGAAAACTCTCTTTCATGTAGAAAGGGGAGTGGAGTACCTTCGGATTGTAAAGGGAACCACTATAAATCTCCGTGTTCATTTTTCTTTCTGCTTTTACTGCTTTCCTCACCAAGAACTTAAAGAAGAAAAATTCAAGAGTTTTTGAAAAACCGGAAAAAGTTTCTAAAGCCTAATTCACCCCCCCCCCCCTTTTAGGCATACTCTGAACTTACAATTGGTATCATAGCACATTTCAATCTCAAAGGTTTTGATGATGTCAACAAAGACTCAAGCTCATTCCATGATTGCAAGCAAAAAGTCAAGCTTTCAAAACTGATCAAAATCAAGATTTTTACACTATATACCTGTGGGGGTATATGCACTAAGAAGCTACTTGCACTATATACCCGTGGGGGTATATACACTGAAGATAAAACCAGAAGCATATCATCTACGGAATGTTGTCAAGCAAATCAAGCATCATGTGCAAATGTTTCTACATCTTTCAAGATTTGGACTCAAGCTTCGGTATATCAATATTCACTCCTTTAATTGATATACAAGTGTTCAAATTCTTATCATAGTTTCATTTTGCATTTGCATATTTTTAAAATCATTTGAATTGGTATAACACTTTTTAACTCAAGCATTTTTCTGAGTTTTAACAGTGTTAACCGATTAACCATATGGGTTAATCGGTTAACGGCCTTAATTTTTGAATTCTTTGGGCCAACGTTCAAGTGTTAACCGATTAACCTATAGGATTAACCGATTAACACTAGACGAATTTTGAAAAATTGTTGCTGTTAAAATTTAAATGTTGTTTGAATATTATACCTTTTCATGTTTTGATTCATACTCAATTATACCTTTTTGAAATGGTGTTTTTGCTCATATAAATTCTGAACATTTCAAATTGAAAAACACCTCCAATAATTTTCAAAATATTCATTGAATCAAATTCACTACTTTTCAAATATTTTCAAAAAGTGTTCATATTGTTCATACATTTCATATCCAGAATTTGTTGAACACTTGTATTGATATTGAAGAGTGGATTTTGATCAAAAGGAGAAGATCAATCATTATATTGATACTATCATTGTATCACTTTCAAATTACAAAAATACAAAGTTATTTCTTTGTGACTTGTGATCCAGGATTGTTGGACATAAGGGTTAGTGTTTGCAAGAGGATTATTCTTGCACACTAGTTGTTGATTAGTTGTTAGATTGTAGGTCTCACCAGTTGATGGTGTGATAGGTTGTACTTTCTAAAACTATAGTGAAAACTCTCTTTCATGTGGAAAGGGGAGCGGAGTACCTTCGGATTGTGAAGGGAACCACTATAAATCTCCCTGTTCATTTTTTTTCTGCTTTTACTGTTTTCCTCACCAAGAACTTAAAGAAGAAAAATTCAAGAGTTTTTGAAAAACCGGAAAAAGTTTCTAAAGCCTAATTCACCCCCCCCCCCCCCCCCATCTTAGGCATACTCTGAACTTACAAACATTACACTTTACTATGCATGCTTGACAACACTATACTCTAGCAGAATTTATATTTTACATGCAAAGACTTCACTTTTAAGACCACACTTTACTATGCATGCTTGACAACACTACACTCTAGCACAACACTCTGCATGCATGACAACACCACACTCATGTGATGGCTTCACATGCATGACAAGACCACACTTGCACGCTTCCCTGCACCATTGTCATCATGTTTCAGCGTGCATTAATAGTGGTAGTATTCACATGCCTACACTATTACCGTAACAGGCCTACACTTTTAACACAACACTCTGCATGAAAGACAACACTACAACATGCATTTTCATGTGACTCTTACACTTAGAAACTTGCACACTACAACATGCATTTTCATGTGACTCCTACACTTAGAAACTTGCACACTTCAGCATGCATTTTCATGTGACTCCTACACTTAGAAACTTACACACTTCAACATGCATTTTCATGTGACTCCTTTCATCACATTTAACCATTATAAATACATGTTCATTAAGGAACAAACTCTTATCATCACATTACAAACTCTACTCCTCAAACGTTCAACAAAATCTTCTCATCACTCTGAAAACTTCACTCATCAAACTTAACCCACGATGTCTCTACTCACAATGGGCAACGATCACAGAGAAACAATTGAGAACATCACAGAGTTTGTAAGTATTTTGCTTTTTGTTGTCATTCTTTACTAAGTTGAATTTTCCTTTAAAACTAATGATATTTATATTCTTTTGCAGAATGTATCAAGGTTTCGTTGTCGTGTGCATGACTACATGCCACACAACCCACTCATAGAAGGATACCTAGAAGCATGTGGGCTTGGTGATTTGATAAAAATCAAATTGTACTCACTGGATCCCAAATTTATTCTAGTGTTGCTAGAATGCTGGAGACCAGAAACCCACATATTTCACCTGCCTTTCAGTGAATGTACTGTAACTTTACAAGATGTCTACATGTTACTTAGCCTACACATCAATGGTAAGGCCGTCAACGACAAAGTTGGTGTTAATGACCAACTTTGTGAAGATTTACTAGGCGCCCCTCTATGTGTCGAAACACCTCAGCCACAACGCGAAGGTCAACCGAGGGGGCAAGATATTAATTTGAAATACCTCAGAGAACACTACAATAGTATCGTGTTAAATGAGGAATCCACCGAGTATGAGAAGATACTTAAAACTCAGTGCTATATTATGATATTATTTAGTTATTTTTTATTTCCAAAAAGTACTGGAAATAGTGTAAATGTTATGTATTTACCGTTGTTGCACAACATTAATAAATGTGCACATATAGTTGGGGTTCAGCTGTCCTCGCCCATCTATACAGTTCATTATGTAAAAATGCAAAAAAAAGTTCTTGTACTTTTTATGGTTACGCCTATCTCCTTCAAGCATGGGGTTGGTCTAGGATTCCAACACTTGCTCCAATCAACCTCAATCCATTCACATTCTTCTACGCTAACAAGTAAGTTTATTTTCAATACGAGTATACAAACGATGTTTCTTTGCAACTTAATTATTTGTGCAATGTTTCTTAGTAACTAATTTATTTGTGTTTCTTTTTTTTAGGTGGTCTGTTCTGGGAATGAATTACCAAAGATGTCCCAGGAACTCCATAATCGTGTACCGCAACCTTATAGAACACATTGGATCAGACGATGTAATTTATCTAGCAACGATGTTCCATTACTTTGTCTAATTAATAACCACATACTTGTATTTCTCATTAAATATTTTGTTAATGTAGTTTGTCTGGATGTCGTACGAGGGTCTCGACCATCAGCCCAACGCCAATGATGTTGTCGTGTGGACATCTAAAAGACCTATCATTTGGTTCACTACAGTAGAGATGCACCAAAGTGATCGGGTGAAACTGCAGTTTGGGATGCATCAGGATATTCCTGTCGCTCCAACGTCTTTGGGACACTGACATCAGCTAAGGGTGTCTTTGTAAAAGAGATGTGTCTGCATTGGAAGAACCGACATCAACACATCTTAACCGACCCTATTGTGGAAGGGGCTAGACCAAGTCATCAATATATGATTTGGTTTAGGTCGGTTACAACATCACAACAATTTGTGTCTGAGCCGACATATTTGATTGACCCAAGGCAACGTGTGTCTTCCTCGAACCTACAGCAGCAGCAACCCAATGCCCAACATCAAACACCAGGTTATACCCAACATCCAACTATGCCCACCCAATCAATCTTCCAAAACCGCAACCCATACATGTCCTCGACGCCGCGCGAGTCCTCCCCAATGTGAAATCGGTGGTCGTTTTAATAGAATCGATCATTGATTTTTCTTTTTTCATCTGTTGTACAATATTGAAGCTTTTTTATATTATAAATATTATAATTTATTATTTCTTTTAATTATATTTTTTTTCAAAATATTAAATAATATATAAAAAAATAGCATGAACTGAGGCGTCATACCATATGGCGCCTCCTCTATGGGCTAGGGTTAGAATTTTAGGGGGACACGTCATACCATATGGCGACTCAGGTTTGAGTTTTGAGAGTTTGCGCCATATGGCAACTCAATTAAAGGCCAATTTGATCAACCATTTCATATGACAACTCAATAGAAAAACATGGTTACTTTTATAATTTTTTTAAATTTTATGTTTAATTGGTATTTTAATTAAAAAATATGATTATTTAAAAAAAAAATCTAAAAACACTAAAAGATTAACTATAAATTCTAAAAATCAAATGACATTTTTTTTCAATTTTTAAAATGTATAACAAGATATAGTCATGATAGAAAAGGAAACTTGACATAACAAGATAGTTCCACACAATGCCAATCAACTTCCTTAAAGAGAGCCGCGTCTCACTCTCTCTCTAAGATGACTTAATTTGATTCCCATATATTCAAACTTATGTGCAAAAAACGTTGTCAATTACTAACCACTCTTAACAAGTAATGTATGTTCAAAAAGTCATAGCATCCAACTTTGCTTAACCTACAATTAATTAGTAATAGTACCTACCTAGCTCATAAAAAAAAGTGCTTCGAGTTCCACCTTCTCTTCACACTCATCACCCACTCCACTCCCTTTAACTTGTATCAATAAAGCAACACAACACTTTCACTTCATTTCCCTATCTGTCCCCACTTTCCCATTCACATAAAATTACTAGTAATAATTAGAAACAAACAAAAAAAATTGATTTTTTCCAACTTACAAACACCTTTCATCTAGTTCTAATTAGCAAGGAATCCCTAATGGTATAATATCAAGAAACAAACAAACAATGTCAAAATCTGCATTCAAAATTTATAATCTAAAAAATCCATTTTTACAATTTTGATATATATAACTAAAGACTTAGCAATGAAAGCCTAACACAGAACCGTCACTAACGGCAATGGCGACTCTGCAACCGGTTCTAACCTTCACTTCGTGACTGAAGAAATGCAAAACCCTAACACGCCCTGCCATTTCCAGCTTCGACTCAATCTCCATCGTCGGTTGAACTCTCAACCCGAAGTTAAACCCTACACCATCACCATTCGCGAGTGTGGGCCCCATATTCGGCGGTGCCGACAACGGGAAAGACTGGACAGAAAACGTGGCGGCCATGTACTGTGTTCTCCCGGCGTCGATCTGACCGGCGGGGATGAACATGAACCCGACCTGGCTACCGTAATAGAGGATTTGAAGAGAGCTGTCGTAGTGAGAGAAAGCAGCTCGGTTAGGGTTTCTAACGGAGGCGTATTGTGCGAAGGTGAAGTTAACGGTGCCGTTGATGACGGAGAAGGATGGAAGCTGAACGGCGTTGACGGCGATCTTGGGGTCTTGGGGTTTGAAAACTGTGTAGTAGACTATGAGGATGACGATGATGATGAAAATTAAGAAGATTGTGGCGACAACGCATGAGGCTAGGTTGGTGCGTCCTGATGGCGGTCGTGGTCTCTTTGGTCTGGCGGTGGGGGCGGTGGGGGCGATGATAGGTCCATCCGCCATGGGCTCCGGTGGTGGAGTGGTGTTGGATCTTATGTTGAGCGGAAAATGTGAATGGGAATGAAGAAAATTATAAGGTTAGAAAAAAGGTAAAGAGCATTTGATTAAACCAAACCCCACATGTTGTCATAAAAAGTACACAAAATTGCCTTATCAAACTAACAAGAGTAAGAAATTGTAAAAAACCAAACAATAGTGTGAATGATGGTGAGAACTGAACTTTGATCATTTGTTTTAACTTTTATTTTTTTGGTTTATTTAGTGGTTTTATTGGAAACAGTGTTTTTTTGAGACTAGAATTGAGGTATTTTTGTTGTATTGTTAAATTTTGTATAGATAATTGTGTTTTTAAGTAGTGGAAATGGACATCTTTGTCTTGGAGTGGACATTTTGTTGACTATATTTCAAGTTTGGACTAAATTGAGTGAGAGCGGTTGGTTGGGTTGGGACACATATTGTCTATCTTTCGTGCAAAAAAGGTAGAGTGTCGTATATCGTTGGATCAATCTCACAAACCAAAAATTGCCATGTGGCACGGTCTTGCCCTTAACAAAAAGCAAATTCATCGATTATCAACTATATATAATTATTAAAGAAAATACATGTACACTTTCAATATTAATGTTTCTATTAAAAATATTTACACTACAGAAAAAAGTTAATTTAGTCGACAACAAATAAATCACAATTTTTGCTCCTCATTCCTCTCAATTTCAAACACATAGTCACACATTTTCCTTTCTATATACTATTCAATTTTCCTCTACTTCTGGTTTTCAAAGTTCAGATTCTCCTAAAACATTTTCTCTTTCACGCCATTATTATGCACTGTTCTAATTTCTCATAATAAAGTTCAACTTGTTTCTATTTTATTTTCCCTCCATTCACACAATCTGATTGTTATTACGTTATCTCTCCGTCATTATTTTCCTCACAACAACACTATTTATTGTTGGATTATAAGAGGATTTGGAAATCATCATATCGAATTTTACGTAATAATGCTCTGATTTATCATGATCCAATAATGATATCGAGAACTCTGATATCACACTTGAAAAATTATTAAATAATCAAAATACATTTTAAAGAGAATATTTTCTTAAACATGTGTTATTTAAGTAGAAAACCATCAAAACCAATTCTAAAACATAACGATAATAATAGAAAATTAAATAAAAGGAATATCAAATTTTTAACGTAGAAAACTTATCTAAAATGAGATGATAAAAATCACAGGACCTAATTCAGTAAAAGCTTCCACTATGTCAAAAATGGGTATAAAAAAGTCTTTTTTAGTAATACTAGAGAATAACAATCTTCACCAATAAATAATAAATATGAAAAACACACTCCAAATAATTCCTCCAAAAAATATGGATATTACTAAAGCAATTCTAAGAGACAGTAAAACAACTCAACAGGTATATAAATAAGATTAACTAAGTGATAGATGTAAGTAGAGTAGCACCTAAGAGGGGGTGAATTAGATACTCAAAATCTTTTTTCGGTCTTGATGTAGATTTCTTGTTTTACTTTCCTAAAAGTTACTAAGTGATGAATGTAATAAAAGCGGAAAGTAAAGAGACACGGCGATATATTCTGGTTTCCCTCACAGTCCGAGAGTACTTCAGTCCTCTTTCAACACGAAAGAGATTTTTCAATATTGTTAGATCCTAAGACAAGACTTCTACCTAGATTTTCTATACAGACTATAACCAATCAAACATCAAGAACAATCCTCTTGGATTTTTCACTAAGTCCAATGAGAACAATCATCTCAAAATGGACCTCTTGCTTCCAACAATCCTGGACAACAAGGTTACAACCTTACAAACTTATTTCCAACAATCCTGAAAAAATAAGATGTAATCAAAGAGCAAATAACTTTTGATTTTAGTAAGTTGCAGCAGTCTTCAAATATCAATCTTGCGACTGATCTTCTTCTTGAGATATCAACTCTTATATATCAAATACAAGTGTTCAAAGATAGAGGAATGAAACTATGATGAAATAATGAAATTTGAAGTATAATAATTTCACTCTTAAAAATGAAGAATTTTTTACACTTGTGAAAATTTGGAAATTGAGAGATGAAAATAAAATTTGAATTTTGAAAGAAGGTTAATCTTAAAGTATGAGATTATGAGGTATATAAATGCCTCTAAACACCTTTTCAAAAGAGTGCAAATGACCAAGAGTTGCCATGGTTCAAGAAGAGATGAGAAAACAAAATTCTGCCAACAGATGCACTTTTCTGTCTCACTGTGTCAGTGGTAATTAGTTAGCGCATGTGGGTAATCGGTTACCAACCTCAATATTTTAAAAATTTTGAAAGATAACATAGGGTAATCGATTACCAGGAAGTGGTAACCGGTTACTCTGAACAGAATTTGCAAAAACATTTTGAAATAGAGGCAAAAATAAATTGTAATGATTTAAAACATTTTTAATATGATATGCAAGAACGAGAGATGAAGTTGAACACTTGTACAAGCTATATAGAAGATGAATGTTGTACCTTCGTTTGTGTAAAACTTTGTCTTCATTCTTTACCAAGTCTTGACATATTGATTTAAAATTGAAGTTCTTCAAACTTGATTTCTTTGAGATTCTTTTATCCATCCTTGTATGTTGTAGGGTGTGTCGTTATCAAAACCATTTAAGAAGCTATGTCTTCACAATAGAAATAACATACTAGATTTGTATCTCCAATTGATAAGGTTTGATACACCCCATATATCACTTGTGCCTTTTACTCTTCTCTAATTCCGCAGTTCTTCGAAACCCTTATTTTAGTGGCTTATTTATTATGTTTTTAGGGATTAAAAAAACTCTTTTAAAATACATTCCAAATGGGTTTAGCCCAAATAAAACAATTCACACAAAAAACTCTTTTTTATTTTTATTTTTAAATTCTGATATTTATAATTAAAATTATACAAAAAAATAGCAGACAAACGGGCAACAAACTGCGTCGCTGTCCTATTTTTATTGCAAAATTAATCCTCTTAAAAATTACATTCATTGTCCTAGGTGACACAACTTTACTATGCATGAGCTATTGCATTCTATGTAAAAGATTCACTGCTTCTAGTGCTAGAAAACCAAAAGTGTTAAAGGAAAATGGTATGAAAGCATATTGATTGTCAAAACACGTTTTCTTATACTTGATCAATTTACTTGAAGCAACTTTGAGAGTTGTATGTCCCATGGTAAAACCTCTAGTCCTTAGTCCCACCAAAGGGGAAAACCTAGTCAAGTCTACACTTGCATGTTTCCCTCCTACGCACCCATACCAGAACATCTGCAGACCTAAGAGTCAATCTCCCTTCCTGTGGGTCAGTCAAAAAATTTGCAGGCGCCTCTTTCTTTACAGATACCCTTGCATGCATAAATATATCAAATATGACATCCTTAACAAAGTCATGTTAGTATTTGAATCTTGGAAGCTCTTTGCAATGAATAGCGTGTTCACTAAATGTATCCAAGCACACCTTGCGTAAAACGGAGCAAACCTCATCAACACCAAATAAAGGAATCATAAGCCAGTATTTAAGGATGGTATGATACTCTACCAGGGACATATATTGTTCTAGACCGTCAATAGGGATAAAATGGAGAAAATCTTGAGCATGTGCTCCTTGCAAATAACCAAAAACTATTTACTTTCTTGTGGTCATGTCAAACTTTACATTTATGTCTTAAACACGTTTACTAAAAATGGCACTCGCCAAAACATGTTGCGCTTTAGAAAGGATAATGTCCTTTCTAGTTAAATTGCTAAGGTCAAAACCTGGAATCACATCACTAAGATCATCAAAAACTTTGTCAAAATCAATGTTCATACCATGTATTCCATTGTTTCTCAATATATGATCATGTAACACCCAAGATTGGGCCATAAAAGCCACAAACGTGTATGAGGCAACCTCCACTGTTAAATACAAGGCTAATCCCTTAGGTCTAATAGATAAAGAATCCACCTTCGTTGAAGGTCTCAGAAGAAATGAACTCCACCAACCATGATGTCTTCAACCACCCTTCGTAACTATTTATCAAACTAAATAGCTATTTTTTTCCATATGATTAGGTTGACGTGTTCTATGGCCAAAAAATAGTTTGGAGATACTCATGGAAGAACAGAGTAGAAGAAGTTCACTCTGAGGATTCCTTAGTTATGTCAGAAGATGCATAAGTTCAACAACCCTAGCCGTTGTCTTCATGGGAAACCCCTTGATAAAGCCTTCATCTCGACTAACATCCCCTTAAAGCAACTTCATCCATAACATTGGCCTCCCAATGTCTGAAGAAAACAACTCCCCACAAAGTTTACTATCATCACACGTAGGCCAAAATATTTCAATTTTGTAAATATTTAATTTGAGACCTAATCTTGGACTGGTCTTCCGAATGATGTCAAGGCCTTTAGCCACCTTCTTTGAATCCCCTATGATGGTCTCGTTATCAAGGTACCATGCATGAAGAAGAAGCTTACAATTGCCGCCGGTATGATGAATAAGTGGGTGTAACACGAGGGAAAAAAGGAGTGGCTCTAACGAGTCACCTTGTTGCACTCTAGTGGCTGACATAATATGCATATCCCCAAGGTATAACCTTGCTTCCTGGCCATAGATAAACTCAACCCACAAGAAAATAGATGGGAAAATCACTCCACCTCTGGTAGAATGGATGATCGGTCTACAAGGTTAAAAGTATTCGTGAAATCTACCGTGAGCATAATCAAATAGAAATCTCCATGTCGCTTTAAGAGTGACTCCGCCTTACAAATATCCCCTTCAAGTATGAGTTCATATATTCTTTTAGGTATACTCCCCATCAAGTGGAATCTTTTCCATCCATATCTAGTTGCACCACTGTTGTTAAGCTTAACTGAACATGCTACCTGAACGCCCTTGTCAAGAAGACTTTCTATACAAGGAGCCCTGGTCGAACTAGGCTCTAATACTAGTGCTAGGTTACGAGGGGATTTTTTTTTCATA